GGCGGGAGCGCAGGCTGTGACTGCACGGGAGCACGCGGCCGGAGCGCCCGGCTGCCGCGGTGCCTGGCACAGGGACAGCACTGCCGCTCCTGGCTATGCACTTGACAGCCTCAAAAATTACTCTGCTCTCTGATGTGAGCACCACTATGGATGTGGTTCTGAAGCCAAAGGAGTTAGCTGAAAAAACTGCCTTTTAACTTGAAGAGATATGGAATAGTTTCCTTATGTTAACACATGTTAACACATCCCTTGGTAATTTAGCAACTAATTTGGCAACTGAAAGATGATTCCGTGTGTGTGTTTGTGTAGTTTGTTGTCTGTTTTGACAGTAAATATCTAGTTTGATCTGTTCTTAAACGTTATAACAAGTAAATGCAGTTTCAGCATAAGCTTTATTGTATTACAGATGAGTATAGAAGAATGAGAAAAGTTTCCATCAGTTTTAGAATGGATTTGTATAGCTTCAAATTTATAATAATCACATTTTTTCCCAATAAAATGATAAAACAAGTCTACCTGACAGCCTGGCATCACCTTCCCTTCTGCTCTTGTTTGTATTCTGTCAAAGATGATTACTCACTAGCATCTGTATGGGAGCAACCTGTCCAGGCTCACATACATCTCCCCTCCTTATGGCTGTGAAATCAGTAATAGTTTCATTTTGAAGTAAAACTTAAAGGATTCCTGGCAGAATAGGGGGGTGATGTCTTTGTACTTCAGCTTGCCTCAGTTATTCACCTGAGCTTTTAAAAACTGCAAAAGAGAAAGGTTAGTGTTAGCTTTAAAATTGGATAATAGTTTTGGACGTAAATTGATAGTTTTAGTTGTTTTCTGAAGGAGGCTGTGGAGGGCAGACAGAGGCAGCCCTGGCGCCGCTCTGGGAGCCCGGCGGGACAGGGCAGCGTCACCCTTGCAGCTGCAGCGGGTGCTGAGGTGCAGAGCCTGCCGCAAGGACGAGCTCAGACCCAGGAAGGCCCCACGAGCGGGTGCAAACGCACAGCGAAGGGCCCGATGGCACAAACCTGCCCGTCAGGCTTCAGGGAATCGGTAGAATGAGCTCAGTTACAGCAAAGCAAGGAACAAACTTCRTGAGAAGTGCGAGGGTCTTGTTTAGCTGAGAGCACAGCTGGGAAATTGTTTTGGGTGTTTTAAATGGCCAATTATATGACAAAAGGTTTTAATTCTTTATTTTGTTAAATCTCTGCTTTGGAGATTTGGTTGTAAGTACCTTTAGCGTTCTCCTCGAGAACGTCCCCAAGCAGCTTCTCCAGCGTTTGTCCGTATTCCTGGTACTGCTCTTCTGTTAGCTTGACACCAATTTCAAAGGGAACGTTAAACTGTAAGAAAATATGAAAAGCAAAAATGTAACAGATACGTTCCTGCGCAAGGACATTGCAAATTAATTTTATTAATGGGAACACTGGCAAGCAAGCTATGTGAAAGGTTCTTCTATTATTAATTTGTAAGTATTGAGACATGAAATCGAAATTGAGAAATGGGGAGTACTGCAGCGCAAACTGTGCAATAAAATAGAGAAAATAAAGCTTTAGAAGAAACATTAGCAATTTTCAAAATTTAAAAGTGAATCATTAGTAGATTATGATCTGATTCACTGTAGTCAGTTTTAAATTATTTCAAGGCATCAGTGCATGCAGTTTTCATGTGCCTTTTCCTACTCGCCTTTCAAGTTAAATATGAAATGAAGTTTTCACTTGTGTTACTTCATATGGTGCAAAATATTCTCCCCCCTACCGCCACCCCCAGCTCTTAAACTTGTGTGTGATGCAGAGGGAAAACGCAAACCTTGATTTCAACGCTGTTACTGCCATCTTCTGCCCACGCTTCAGTTGTGTCTGAAAAACCTTCCATGCTTCGACGGTGCAATGTTGTTGTCGTTGTTGCTGGCCTTCTTGAATCCTTTCGTTGCTGGAAAGCAAGAAAGTAACATCTACATGTTCTTTCCATACTCTATAGAGAAATTAGAATCCACAATTAAAACAGGTGCAGCAAGACAATGGAAGGCATCATAATCTTCTTTTAAAACCATAGGTCTATAATAATTATCCTACTGTTACTGCCTTCATTATTAAAGGAATTTGGTTTAAGAGTTCCTTACAGAACAGCCACCTTCCAGCTCATTAAAACAAAAAAAGAAGCTGCTACAAACAAATTAAATGGCTACTTTCTCTCTAATCTTTCCTTTTGAGATTATGCTTGCTAAATGAGATTAATCTTAATTCTCAAGCGCATCTACAGTGCTGATAGTTTGCTATAGAGGTTCTCTGGCATAATTCTTTCCCTTTTCAGAATCGGTAACTTATAAATTAAATATTCTGTGATTCTGTGATTCTGTAAAGGCTTCTGTGAACATTGCAAGGAATCTTGCTTTGAAGATCTCTTAGGGAAGGAATCTTTGAAAAAGTCTTATTCCAAATCTTTTACCTGTATTTTCTTATATTCAGGGCTTAAAAAGCTAGAGCCAGCCAGAACAGTTTCCGCGCAGAGGGCACTGAAGAGGAGAACGCCAAGCAGGGCCCCTCTGAGTAACATGGTTTTCTTCAGCAAGACTCTGTCAAACCTGAAACATAGGTGGGCAGATTAAACATATTTCACAATATTTCTCTTTAGTTAATTGAATCCAAGTCCAATGACAAAATTGGTCCTGCAAATCTTGTTTATGAAATTGGATGGATCAAACAAACACAGTATTTAAATATTAAAACTAAAAACACCGCACTGAAAGACTGTTGCTTACCGTATTCTCTTGTGTAGCTAAGATATTGCCCTGAAGCAGGTGGGCTGGCGGAGACGACTTACACGGGGAAATAGACCAACCTGCCAGAAACTTGCCTCCCTAGTTTAGTCATTCCACCAAATGGCTGCTTTTTAAGTGCTTTATATACCAAATGGAGTATTTGTTCTGTGCTACAGAATAACTGGAAATGCAATCTCATGTGTACTTGCATTCCTGGGAAGCTCAGCCTGCTTACATGATAACAAAATCAACAAGAAGTGAAAATAGCACATAGATCTGTTGCTGCATTTCCCCTTATGTATAATGAGATTACATATAATGAAATAGTGTAGGCAAAGAAGTGGAAGTTTCCGCTTCTATATCCTGTGTTATCATTTCCTTTTTAAAATAAATTAGTAGATGTAAGGTATTTTTTTCCAAAGAGAATATAACATTTTCCTTATTCGAGGAGGTGTAATGGAAACGGAGACCTGTGGTGAAAGTTGGCGCTGCTCCTTTTTCCCCCGAGTGCATCCCCTCCCTGCTGCGCTCTCCCCCAGTCCTGTTTCTCTCTGGGGTGCAGGTCCAGTCTGGACCTGCCCAGTCTGGGATGCAGGTCCAGAAGTGTAAGACTTCTTATGCTCAAAACTTCATAAACTTATGATGAAGACTGAATGAAGAGCAGTTCAGAAACTCTCACCTAGTGCTTAAATGTGTAGTAGCTAAACTATTTCCTGAACTGGACCTTGCTGCTGATTAAATATGAACCATTAAGTATTAAAAATCATAAAACATAAGGACATTAGCACTCAGAAGCTGTATAGTCACCTTGGAATGTCATTATTAGCTGGTTAAAGAAAATGCTTCTTTGCTGTTTATTTTGAAAAGGAACCATATGAATGTGATAACCTTGATTTTGAGGTAATTTTTTTTTCCAGCAGGGTCAGGGGAGGGGAAGGCTACTGAGCATTTAAACAAGAATGGAAACACTCCTGTTGCCATGTGAAAGAGACCTCTCCAACACATACATGAATTAAGCTAGGATTTATTTGGTTAGTATACATAACTATCATAAAATGAGGGTAGTTTTCTGGAAGAGAATGGGGCATGTTATCTGAAACGTGCCAAAACCAAGAGCACAGGTAGGAGCAATTTCCTTGGAGAAAAGGGAAGGCTGTGACACACCTGTTTGCTGTTCCAGGGCAAGAGGAGAGCAGAGAGGAGTGCGACCCTTTGGCCCAGGGCTTTACCTGTTACAGGAGGCGAGGAATGCTACCCAGAAACTGTTTCAAGTGAAAGGGCGTTGATATCGGGGCTGCTGAGCATAACATCTTGTCTGAACTGCAGCCGCATGCAGCACCTTAGCTGAAACTTGGCCGTGTGGTCATGCTGCCCATGCTGCATAAGGCCCATGTCCACCTCCAGTGCAGGGGATAGAGGAACTACCTTGCACTCTCTTTATTTGATCCTGCTATAGGTGGGAAGCTATTAGTCCACTGCTGACTACCAGTATGGTTAAATGATTCAGAAAAATAATATTGGAGAACAGAGGAAAAAAGCACAGTGTAATGTCTGAAATGACAGTGCATACTGTCTTGATAAGGCCCCTGTAGAAGTATCATTTAATAATCATACACCAGCTTTTACCAGTAAGACTTTATTCYGTTGGTATCTTAAAAAAAAAATACAGTACAGAAGAATGTCTAAAAAAAAACTTTCAAAATAAGTTTTGATGACTTTTTTAAATAACCAAGTTTGAGATACCTGTAAAGCAAGAGACCTTATTCCACCACTCCTCCAGGAAATCAGAGGCCGGACACAGGCTCCTCTTCATGTTGATGCTGAAAACTCACCCGGGCCCCTGGCTCCTTGGGGGAGGTTCAGCCCTCAGCAGGGCAGCTTTGGGGCCAGGCGCAGGTTTGTGGGAGCACTCGAGGGCCCTCCTGTGCCCAGGGGCAGCGTCAAGCCAGGCTCAGCGCTGCCCTGGAGAGCAGCCTGCAGCTCTAACACGATCAAAGAGGAATGTGAGACACAGGGCTTTGCTGTGCTCCTCACCTTTAATTTAAGGGAATGTCAATTAAGGCTGTTCATAAACACACTGTAGCCTCCCATTAATGATATAGAGCGATCACAAAACTGAGTGTTTATTTCCAAATATTCATGTCCAGTTTGGATTAAAAGCCGTTCTCATCTGGTTCAGGATGCTGCCCGAGGGGTAAGGATGGCTGTTGCAGCAGGGCCGCGCGCCCCGATCACTGCTCGTTCTGCTGCCCCTCCACAGCGGCAGACACTCCTCCCTGGCCCTTGTTCACGTCGCTGATGCAGGCCCACAGCCCGTCCACTGACTCCTTCCACAGCGTGACCTCAAGAACACATCAGGAAGAAATGTTAGCCTTAAAACAATATTATCAGTTTCCCCTTTACATTTCCTCGCAACTCTCACCTAACCACTAGTTTGGTGACGGTCTACAGTTATTTAGAAAAACCCTGCAGCACTCAGCTTCCATATCAAGTTATTTATTACTCTATACTGAAGAGTCATGCAGTGATAAGAAAACAGGATGTGAATACTGATATGACTGTCCTACAAGATAATCTTAGATTTGCATTTTCAATCACCAGTAAGTGCTAAAACAAAATGCAATGCAAGCAGTTTATCAAGGGTTAGGTTCTTCCTCCCTTCCCTTTTTGATAAGTCAAAAAATAAAATAGTCACCACAGCAATCAAATATGAATCTGCAACAGCCTTTACACAAGCAACAGAAGTAGCAGAATACCCTGTTTCATGTAAACTCTTCTGGAAATAGGGCATGCGAGAGTAGAAGCCCAGGGGCAGCACTCACTTTATTGTCTCCTCCAGACACTGCAAGAATGTTTGCCGTAATGGACCAGCTCACGTGCCACACAACATCAGTGAACTTGTGCAGCAGCTTTGGCGACCATGAATTTCCAGAGGCATCATCACATGTCCAGATAAACACGCGGCCGTCCTGCAGAAGCAGCAGAGCAAGGTGGTTGGACCAAACTGCGACACAGAAACCCCAACCTCTGTACGCAGCAGGTCGGGCACTGGAGCCTGCCCACGGCTCCCCAGGCAGAGCCTCACCTGGGAGCAGCTCGCAATGGTACTCGTGGGCAAACCGATGGATGGAGCCCAGGCTACATCCCGTACCCAGTCACTGTGAGCCTCCAGCTTCTGCTCTTCTTTCCACTGGCCATCTTCTTCTCTGCAAACACACAGACACCCTCAGAGGGCTGCAGCAGCCAGCTCCTGCTCTGGAAAGTTTTTTCTGTAGTTTTTGCAGTCCTGGTTTATGCACATGATATGAAGCACGAGTGCTCCTCACTTCTCCACAAGGCTCTATAGCTTAAACTGACAAAATCTCTTTGAGGGGACAGAGAAGAATATAAAGAGAGGAACGTTGTTTTCTAGCAACTATAGGGATCTGTTATTGTCCAAGGGACAAGTGTAGTCAAAGCTAAAAAGCTGCTATCCAAGATACAGTTAAGCACAGCAGACACGAATAGACAGAACCATGTGAGAGACTGCAAGTCATGGAGTCATTTCTATTCTTTAAAACATTTCTCTAAAATGATATGCAAAGATGAATTTATAGATGTGTAAAATATAACTTGAAATATTAACAGTGGCATTGAAAGACTCTAAAAGCCACCAGTCTTTATGAGTTGTTAATGCAAGCAACAAAACACTTACTTCCAGATCTTGACAAGGTTATCACAGCCCCCAGATGCGAATCGCTTGATGTAGTTTGGTTTTTGCCCAGATGGCTGCTCTATAAGACTTCCTGGCACAACAGCAGGAGCCCAGCTAACAGCATTACACCCAATCTGTTTAAAGGAATAATTGTAAGTTTCTTACTTTAAAAAACCCAAAGCTGCTGAAGTGTCAAAGGACACCTAGCACAATCCCTAGTGGGGCAGAGGGAGTGGGAACGACTCCACCTTAGGAAACTGGAATTTAGTGAAGTGACAATATGATCTAGGCTCAGTAGATATTTATTCTGAAAGCCTTAGATAGCTAGGTAACTGGTTTATGGGCAAATCTCATCTCAATTATGTAAACGGTAGAGAGAGAAAGATAAACCAGAAAGATATATACAGTTGCTAAGATTTAAGAATGCAGGACTAAAGGGACCTCTTGGACCACAGCCCACTTTCCTTTTACTGCAAACCCTGCTATAACCTGCATAGATGGTTATCAAACTCTGTGTAAGCAAAAACATCACTCCCATCTAAGGCAAAATGTCAGACMTGCAGTTTTTCCAGTCTTAAGTTTATTCACAGCCAGCCTGTGACAGGTGTTCTTAGTACTAATCCTGTCTTCTAGCATTTAACTTTCAACGTTGTGTTGAACATTAATTCTTAAAAATCATTGAACCGCACTGTTTGGTAGCCGTTGTTTCCATTTTATTTCCCCGATTACACAGCATACCTCCCCATGCTGGATTAACTTAAAGCAGAAGCTATTTCCGATTCTGGAAAATACTCGGGATCACTTCCCTCCATTTCAGTGCTGCTCTACCGAGGCACTTCTCTGTAGCTCCAATGCCTTGCTCACACATCCGCCCACCCAGACCTACCGTGTGCGCRTTGCCGATCTTCTTGACTTCCCACTGCCCGTCGCCCGTGTAGCTCAGCAGCGAGATGGCCCCGTCGGAGCTCCCACAGGCCAGGATGAGCCCGTAGTCGTGCGGCGCCCAGCAGACTGAGTTCACTGGGAGAAAGGAGACACGCTGGATCAGAGCACAGTGACCAGCTAGAAATGCACTGACCAACTAACAGTAGTGAGGAGGCACTGCAATRAGCAACCCGCAAAACTGAGCGAGTCTTGAAACTCTTAATTCTAAAGCCAGCCAGTTAAACAGCTGAATGATGGAAAGCGGCCTGTATTTTTAGCAACCTTTTAGAAAGCATCAATATAATTGCACATCAAGGTAATCCATTTAAAGAGTAAAAAGAAAAAAAGCCCTCTATCCCCTCCAATAAAGAAAAGAATCTCACTGACTCTAGAACCAAAGGCAAGTGACTGGCAGAGTATCTGTAGGTCTCAGTAACAAATCAAACCTTTATATGCAACAGGTAGCCCCATTTTCATTGCAGGCTTAGTCTTTGGGACAACTAAAAAAGTTTGCTTGATCCCTTTGAGAATAACATGGAAGGGCAAGACTTGCCCCTTCTTTCTCAAGAGGCCACTAGCATCAACCTGGGGCTTTGGGGTCTCCCAGATTTGCCCATAGAAGGGCCATCAGTAGAAGTCACCTGCACAAAGCAGCTGCCATTGTAAAATAAAACTTAGTATACTAAAACCCAACTTTTTCCTTCCTTCCTACAGTAGACACGTACAGTTGTGCATCAAGAATTCTGTATCCTACCATCCTGTTCACTTGTAAGCTGATTTATTTGCAAAACAACTCCACTGCATTGTAGAAATTAATCAGCAGCCTGTCAAGCAATATGCTTCTAGATAATATGTTGGTTACACAAAATGTAGACTTACTGCCTCTCTATTATTTTATCCTTTTGTTTGATAAACACTTTTTCCTTAACACCGAAGAATTTATTCCAAGCTTATCCGAACCCCCTTTTATACCCAGGTTCCCTCCCCCCTTCCCAGTGTCACACCTGAGGAATCATGCCCCGTGTATTCATATGTCTTCTCCCAAGTGCCATTTTCTTCCTTCCAAATAATAACCTTCCTGTCGTAGGAACAGGAGGCCAGGATATTTCCGTACATAGGATGAGCCCAGGCAACTTGCCACACTGGACCTTCATGCCTGCAAGAAACAATCTTAGTTGGACCCAAGAAACCCATTACAGCTGCCACCACTGGAAACAGTTCAAGCGTTTCTCCACATATTAATGAACAAGATTGCGAGTTTACTCCTAGGCAGCTATCGGTGCCCAGCATTTGATGAATAAGAAGCCAGAGTTATTCCTGACCAGCTCCATCCCCTCTCAGCTCTAAGGAGTCATTTGGCAACCACCAGCCACAGCAAATACTATCTGGGAGAACTTTACTGTGGCTTTACATTACCAAAAGCCAAAATCATGAAATATTACAACTTGTCACAGAGTGGATTCCTCCAGTTAATGCACTTTACCCTCTGAGGTCTGCTATGAGGATTTGCCCTCCGTTCCGAACGTCGAAGATTTTCACGGATCTGTCTGAAGAACAGGTCGCTAGCCGAGTGCCGTAATAATCCATCTGAGCATCGTGCTGCAAGGTAATGGGTGAGGTCCGTACCATTTAATGTATAGACAGATATCCCCCCCCGCCTCGAGTTAAAGCCTCAAGCTGTTTCTCCTTCCCCGGGGGGCTCCGTTTCCTGCTCCACATGGAAGAAGCGGCACCGCCGTTTCCCGGGGCCCGCGGCTTCTCCCGCTGCCACCCGCACACAGACATCGCCCGTGTCCTCCCCACGGCGTTACCGCCCGGCCCGCAGGGCCCAACGGCGCCGATGGCCCCGCGGGCTCCCCCCGAACGAGCCCCGGGACCTCGCGCTTACGATCATGTCCTCGTGCGAGGTGTCCACCGTGTTGATCACCGAGACCTGCGGGAGAGGGGCGGCAGGAAGCGGCGCTGCAGCGGAGCGGAGCGCCGGGACCGCTGCCGCCGCCGAACCCTGGGCCGGGCCGGGCCCCGCGCCGCCAGCGCGGCCCTGCACCGCGGCTGGGGCCGCTGCGAGAGGCGCTGCCCGGCGGCCCGGCCCGGCCCGACACCTGCCGGCCCGGCCCGCCCCATCCCCTCCCGTCCCTACCATGGCGGCGGTAACGAGGCTCGCACGACTCCGCCGACAGCGACCGGCTCCCGCCCGCTCACTGGGACGTGGCACCGCGGTCCGCCGCGCAAAAGGGCCCGACCGGCCGCGAGCCAAGCGCCAACGTTCCGGACCTGCCGCGTGCAAGCCCCGCCCCCTGCGTCTCCGCCCCCTCGTGGCTCCGCCCCTGTAACCGGCCCTATCGAGACCCCGCCCCCTGTCGCGGCCCCGCCCCCCGCCGCGGCCCCGCCCCGCCGCCATCTTGGCCCGCCGCCGCCGCCGCCGCCGCCGCCATCACCATGAGCAGCGTGTCGTACCACATCTCCAACCTGCTGGAGAAGATGACCTCCAGCGACAAGGACTTCAGGTGCCGCCCGCCCGCCCGCCGCGCGCCGGGGCCGCCCAGGCTGGGCCTGGCCGCGGGAGCGGGTCGGGGCTGCTGCGCGGGCCGCTGCTGCGGGCGCTTGTAACGGCGCCCACGGCACCCGCGGGAGCGCGTGGCCGAGCCCCGCGCTTTGCTTTATTTTTCAGTACTTTATTTTTCAGGGTAATGCAAAGGGCTGTATGCTAGTGCTTGCAAGTGCTTTTTCATGCATTCATGGAATTAATTTCTCTAAGAAGTCCACGTGTGCCCGTATATCCTCCAGTCCCCTTTTGCTCTGTGTTGTTTCAGGTTTATGGCCACCAATGACCTGATGATGGAACTGCAGAAAGATTCTATAAAACTAGATGAAGACAGCGAGAAAAAAGTTGTGAAAATGCTTTTGAAGTTGCTGGAGGACAAAAACGGGGAGGTGCAGAACCTGGCTGTCAAGTGGTAAGAGCCCCGCAGCAGTTGCTGTGTTCCGTTGTCCATTGGCACCCATGGAAGCGCCGCAGGCGGCAGCCGCGCTAGAGCGGAGCCGGCCCTGCGGCGCCGGCGCCTTCCCCAGAGCTCCCGTTAGAGCCCTGTGCTCCTCGTGCTGCTGCTCTGGAAGGCTGACTGGACACGCGTCTGCAGAAGGCGGCTTYGGAAGCATTCCAGTGTTTATGCTACAGACCTACCATATTAAAAGTAACATGTCTAAGATTCTGTTATGTCAGGGATTAGCCCGCATAAAAATTTTATACGCCAAACCCCTCTGTGTTAGAGGGCTCTGAAATCCAGTGCTGAATTTCCCCRTGGCCGTGTCGTTGTTGGAGGTGGTGGTAAGGTACTCCGTGAGAAATGGCGTCTGAATTTCAGGGATTCTGAATCCTACCCTTTTAGGGCATTTCCGTTAAAGTTTGCAATATGCTTGTTTTTGTACTTCGTCTCCAAGCTTAGTTTGTGCCGTTGCTTCATTTTTTGAACATTATTAGTATTTTACACCCAAATGAAAAGGCRGATTCTCCCCTTATTACTGAATCTTCCAATTAAGTGATCCTAGTGCTGACGTGTTGTTTCCTGTCTCTTTCCCCCAGCGTGTCTAAATGGGAGTGTTCATGCTAGAAATGAGATTGAATGGGTCAGTTCACGCACAGGGCTCCAGAAAGGTGGGCCATTTAAAGACAATCTTGGGTTCCTTTGTTCTTTCCTACTGTGGATTTTACTCCTCTTCCTTTCTTTTAAATCTTCTACTGCTTCTATCCCTGTACCCTGTGACCTTTGGCTCTTTCATTTTGATTTCCACTACCCTGATTTTTCCCCAGCCGTTTTGGCCCTGTTCTTGTCTCTTATSTAGTTTGGGTTTGTTTCTTCTGTCTTTTTAAAGAAAAGTTTTCAGTTGGGCACTGAAAAAAAAACCCAAAAGACTAATTTCGTTGCCTATTTAGCTGTGGCTGCATCACCTATAAGAGCATATTCATTACAATGTCTAACTCATCCAAAGTGACAATTAGAGAGTAAATGAGCCCAGCGACGTTTTCTTTTCATGGCTCGGGCTGTCCTTGCAGCAGCTGATGCCTGGGCAGCTGCTCCATGGGGTGTGAGTCTCTCGGAGCAGGAGCTGCGACACTTGGAAGGACACTGTTGGTTGAAGTGTCCCCCACGTGGATCCATGCGGCCCACATCCAGGCTCCTGAGTTACTGAAAGGTTGGTCTTTATCACCTAAAACAAAGGTGTTATTCGGAGGAAAGCTGAAATTGCACTTGTCACCCAGAAAAGCTCCCAAATTTGAAATTGAGATGCCAACCTATTCCATTTTTCATCCTGTGTTTTGGTTCCCCTTGTCCCCAATTTAGAAAGCTCTTCAGCTTCTCTGTGCCTCAGTCTCCCGTCTGAAATAGGGGCAACTGCCAGTTCTTTTCTATTCTGTATTTTCAGGTATAGGATTAAAACACATTTTCACTTTTACAAGATCCTATTGTTCTGTAATTTTTTTTTAACTCCCATATTTCAGGGAAGATACCCTGACTCTACACAGCTATTAGTGTCCTGTCCTGATTGTTGAATTTAAGAAAAACCATGTACAGACCAGGCTCAGTGTGAGTTTGGTGTGTGAACCCTGGGAACCCTGTGCTATAAACACTGSTTGAGCATGCTGTCAGGAGCGGTTCTGTAGCAGCAGGGAGGCTGTACCCGTTAGGCCAGGAAGAAGAGGGAAAAAAATCAAAAATTCACTTTTGTTCAAAGATTTTTTTACATTGTGGGCCAAAGTGGAGTTTACAAAGTGCTAGCACTAGGTTCAATCATCATTTCTTATGGATATTCTAGCTGTTTGTGAAGCAGTAATTTCTGAGGGGTACAGAATATTCATGGCAAGCAAATGCATTTTGAATTCCCTAGCCTAATTCGAAGATGTAAGTCTGGCTGATCAGGAGAGGAAAGCTGCAACACGTGACTTGCTGAAATACAATTTAAACTTCACATTTCAAGTAGTTCTSTTGTTAAATAGGAGCAGATAAAAATAAATAATTGGAAATAAATACTGACAGCTTCTGCACGATTTTGAATAAAAAGCTGACCAGCAGGAAATGTAGGCTTTCCCTCTCCCCCCCCAAAAAATGCAGGGAAATGAAACTGTTACTCTGATGGAGTCTTCCCTCTGTTGTAATTCTGAACCTGGCTCAAGCACAGGTTTTTAGGCATGTGGCAGAGGGCAGTAGATGATTAATTACATGTGCAAATCCATTTGGCACTTCCTCTTGCAAGTCAGTTTTTGATGTATTTTTTTCAAAACCTGACCCTAATTTTACCATTATTCTCTTTAACATGGTCATTCTCATTCTTAGTCATTGTGTCATGATTTCTTAGCTTCCCCTTCCACTAAGATCTCCTTATCCTCATGTCTCCGTACCCCTGAAGCCTGCTGCAGGGTTAGGAGGCAGGGCAGGAGGCACAACGTGTGTCTCTGCACGGGTGTTTCGGTCGTACTGCGCTTGGCGCCGAGCGGCTCTGCAGGCAGCGGTCTGAGCTCCGTGTCCCGCGGCGCAGGGCAGCCCTCTCTCTGCTCAGTCTCACCGATSTCTCCCCCTGCAGCCTGGGCCCGCTGGTTGGCAAAGTGAAGGAGTACCAGGTGGAAACCATTGTGGACACGCTCTGTACAAACATGCTGTCGGACAAGGAACAGCTGCGGGACATCTCCAGCATCGGGCTGAAAACTGTCATCTCGGAGCTGCCACCAGCCTCTACAGGTAAAACGTCTGTCCCTGTTTGTCAGCCCAGAGCTGTAGGGAGTCACAGCCCTGGGGAGACAGAGGGAAAATGTGGTTCAGAGCCGAAGAGTTAYGGACTCCTCCTTCCCCTGCTAGATTGCAAGCAATGGTGTAAGGAGGAGAGAGAAGCGGAGGCTGAGATAGCAACGGGATTAAAGATGAGATGGAATGAAAACTAACTGAAGTTAGTTACCTCAGTCTGAAACCGCTTCCGAATTCTTGCAGAAATCATTTCTTTGTGTATCGCAAGCCCAGCACGTGCAGCTTGGGAGCCGCTGGTGCTGCTGGCACAGCCGCACAGGGCTGCAGGGCTCCCGCCCGCGCTCAGCATTGCTGCTGCACCGCGTGTCGCTCGGCGCAGCGCCGGGGCTGCCCGCTGCTCCCGCACCCCTCGTCAGCCCACACGCAGCAGCAGCTCCTCAGCAGCTCTGGAGTGCCCAGGGGCTTGAGCCAGCTGCCTCTGYGGCCTTCTCATACCTCCCTTGTTCGCTCCTGGCAGGTGGCCCTGGCACTGATATCCGCATAGATTTTAGTTCTCAGGGGAGACCTGGGATTAGTATGCAAATACTTGCTGAATTCCTCTCATTTTCTGCAACATGTTAAGCTCTTGAAAGCTATCCTTTCAGAAGTCCTTATTTAACATGCATCATGTGAACTGAAACTGAGGGTAGCAACAGAATAGATTTCCTTAGTGGTTGGGATTGATGCTGTGTGTGGGTGGAAGGCAGCAAATTTGGTGCAAGTATTTTGCCAAATGGAGAGGTTGGACATGTAYCCCTGTGCTCCCTTGTGCCCTACCCTGCTCCTTGTGCTGCCTCCTGCTGTGGGGCTGGCTGGAGCAGAGGGGAGGTGGCACTAGCAGCCCCAGAGTGTGTGTGTGGGATGGGCACCTTTCGCAGTGCTAGCGCAGCAGGTAGCGATGCTGCTGCAGGAAGGCAGTGCTCAACGTGGTGCAGGCAGCACCTGTCCCTTCCCTTGAAAGCTCTGTGCAATGTGGAGCTGCTCACGGCTTGCACTGAACCCACTGAGGGGAAAAGGTCAGTGCTGAGATGCGTACCCGGCAGCAGGGAGACTAAACCTGTACCTGGGCATTCAGCTGGGTAAACCCTTGTTTTTTGAAACTGAATGTTTTTCACATTAAAAATAAAGGAGATGGAAAAAAAAAAAAAAACCAAACCCTTCCTGCCCAGCTCTGCTCCRTGCACCGCCTGGCCCTGCGAGCCGTCTGTGGCAGCCTGGCTGTTGGCTAATGGAAGATTCTCTCCAAGAGCAGAAGCTTCTTCCAAAGAGTYGGTGCATTGGACTCCAGGGGGTTGCCCTATGCTCCCAGTGCCTGTCCCCTGCCTCAAAAAAACGCTGCTTGACTGCTTTCCTTGACAGCTCTCCCTGCAATGAGTTTGTTTTTAATGTAGGAGGAATTGAATGGTTCTTASCATTATAAAGATTCTTTTCTTAATTGATGGTAAGAAAA